TATATATATATATATATATATATATATATATATATATATATATATATATATATATATATATATATAAATGATGGTAATCGCTTGGAAAAAGCTTGGGTATTTCGGCTTGTAGTAGAACAAAACCAGTACCCAAGGAAAAATGAGGAATTAAAAAAAAAAAAAAATGAAACTGAAGCGAAAACAATCGTCCAGAATTCAAGCTCAAAGTCCAAAGAAAAAAACCTAAAAAAGTAAAAAGCAACTACGTAAAGTGCTCAATACAGGAAGTAGAGCAAACCTAATATATATATATATATATATATATATATATATATATATATATATATATATATATATATATATATATATATATTGATACAGGCTTCATTAAATAATGTAGACAAGTTTTGTATGGGTAAACCTAAGGAGGATATATATATATATATATATATATATATATATATATATATATATACACACACACACATATATATGTCTCTATGAATTTAATGTATTTGTGCAGCAATTTTTCTTTTCTACAAGTTTTGGGAATTTTTTTTTACCTATACTTTGAGTCATCCTCTTGATTTCGCTTACGCATAGAAATGCAAATTATCCAATGTCTGATTTCTTTCAACTTTCATAATGAAAGTGTCTGTTCTTTTTTGTTCTATGTCAGTTTCGCCGTTTTTTTTTACTATCGTGTTTCCTCGTGTTATGTCTGTCCTTGAAAAGTATCCTGTCGATACGTAGGATTTCGAGTTGTAGAATCGTTTGTTTTAAATCTGGAACATGAAACATAACGGTAGGTTCGTTAAATAAAATGGGCAAATGATACTTTCTCTAATAGATGAAAGATTACGGCCATAACACTTTGAAACATTGGTTCTCGTCCGATCACCATAGTTAAGCAATGCCGTATATGGACAGTAACTAGATGTGTGGTCGCTTGGGAATACCAGGTACTGTAACGAATAAAGGATCGTAATTTGTATTCCAGTCAGGTCGTTATAATCGCGAAAAATTCCATTAGGAAATGTACGAATTCACTTCTCTCACCAGTTGTGAGTTAAATAATTGTTGTGGTGTCTTCCCTCTAAAAAGTCTATGTTGGACTCTTTCGCCTACTATAAGATTACTAGGAGAGAAGGCCTTGGGGGAACAGTCGAATAGATATGTTCCAGCTGTGCTGGTCAAAATCTCTGCGTCCGAGCAGAGAGGATCCTTAGACGAGGCTGTCAAAGAGCAGAGTCTTGTCTCAGCAAACAGCTATCCGACCATGTGTTATACTGGGCCTATGAGGAATTTTTGGACGAGCATACGGGCTCGGATAACCCCACATTAAACTCGGTTTTGTGCCACATCGTACCTCGTGGGGAGGCTAGTAAATATCAATATTAGAATAGATTGAACGCTGGTCAACTGACACACTCACAAGTCGTGTAATACTCTTCTGCTGTGCTTACTGTTTAATATATGATACATCTGTAACACTAGTTTTGCTATTTTTTTAATCATTTACTTGGTCACAACAATAGTAAAACCTATTTCTGTAAAGTCACTATTATCTCCCAAAAGTCTTACTTTCACTTTCACTTTCGATAACTTTACATGTATCCATTAGAAGGCTTGGTATCTTCATTTCATTACACTCCTTGTTCGTTGCCATAGCAGTTACGAAATTTGGCTAGCTTTATTATGTGAAAACTTGCAATCTAGACAGGCCTTTTTAATTGCCATTTGAGAAACAGATGGAGAACAGTAGTAACTGTCTCAGTAAAATAATTATTTTTTCCAAAAAACTCATGCAATACCCCAAAATTATGTGGCTTTAAATAACCTTCAAAGGGTTGATAAACCGTAAAACCAATCAAAAATCAAGAAGAAAGATAGGAATGTCAAACCCTGGTTTCGAGATACCCAAAGCAATCGCCCGCGCTTCCTTTCATTAAGTATTTCAGTCTGTTGATTGACTGCAGTCATTATCAAGAATTAAAATCCTCTGTCATTTTTGTACTTCTATTCGACTTAGATAAAGCGTTGCCACGAATTTGCTACTTTTATTTTCGGCTTTAGATATTTCCTCAGTTTTACTTTCTGAGCGATTTTCTTCACAAGATCCTCTAACATGTGCAAATTAAACCACTTGTAATTCACACAAATTATATGACTAATCCAGAAAATCACTGCAGTTAAGTAACTGAGAAAGCAACTTGACAAATTTAACTTGCCACTTGGTAAATATTAAAACACACCAAGGATCTAATAGTGGGGTAAATATTGTACCCGTTCAACTGGTTTCAGTTAAAATCCTGTGATGACTTCATAGCTCTATTGAATAGAAGAGTTGCAACGAATTTGCTACTAGTTTATTTTGTAGGGTATACGAATAACAAGCCAAAAACGTTTCTTAATATTATCGTTTGATGTCCTTTAATAGATCTGATATTGATTACTATTAAGAATTTTTATGAATAAAGACGAAAGAATTTTTGTCTTTATTCATATTGTCTTTTACAGATATACTTTATCTGAAATTTTACACATCCCATTTTAGAACTGAACTTGCAATAGCATGATTAGCAATGTAAATTTAGAGCAAGTAAAATCAATATAATTTAGTCAGAGTACAAGCGAAAATAGAGGTAATTAAATAGATATCCACGTCTTTTTACTGTTGAAAAATTGTGCTTCAAGCGTGAGGAACAGTAATAAACATCAGAGCATCTACAGTGCAGGAGATACTTTTAAAAGGTAATATATCAATATTAGATAGCAATAAGACAATATCGAAAGCATTAATGATCAATACATTCTACTCTTTCTTACATTTCTACTTTTACTTTTACTTTCACTTTCGTGAAGAGAGAAATTGTCACTTTATTTCAATAGCATTATATTACAATAAGACAAACAGAAGCGCTTAATATTTCTTACTGTTTCTATAAATCTTCTACTTTCACTTTCGACAACTTTATATCTATCTATTAAGAAATAAATTGATACTTTATTTATACAGCAGTAAGACATCTACAAACATCATTGCTCAATATTTCCTACGCTTTCTCTTTCACTTTAAACAACTTTATATGTATCTACATGATAAAGATTGATACTTTCATTTCATTACACTCCTTGATCGTTGCCACAACAGTTACAACATTTGGCGTGTTTCATTTGTCTGAAAGCTGACAATCTGGAGTGGCCGTTTTAATTGCCATTTATGACAGTGGAGAAGTTTTTACCGGAATCCAAGCCCAGTTAAATTTGTATTTCGTGAAGTTTTTACGCTACTTTCTGTTATCGCATCCCCGCATTTAGAAGGTATGATTTCACGAGAAAAACAAAGGATAAAAAAGTTCAATGAAAATTCTATTCTAAGATTTTACAAGCAGAATCGGATAGCATGCTCATTTTTATTTTAGCGTTTAAGCGCGGAAGCTTTTATAGGTCTTCATTGTTGGCACAACAGTAATGAAAGATTGCCTGCCTTGTACAATTCCTCTTGTCTTAGAGCAAGATACGGCGTGGTTTTTAATACCCGAATCACATGATCCCAGCTATTGTTCACAGTTCTGCGTGCTCGTCATCGAAGCACCATTTAAGTACTAACCCGAATTGACTCTACTTGCGATGGAACGTAAACCGGTGCCATCACCATGATTTGAATCTAATATAAAGCTTATTTCACAATATAGTATGTATAATGTTCGTTTTAATTTATTTTAAATTATTATTCTAATTTACACATATCTGATGTCGGGATGGTGGAAACTTCTAAAGGAATAATAGAATACAGCGTCTCTAAAATTGCCTAAAAGTTCATTGTAACATGTTTTAGTGATTGTTTGTTGCCGGCGTTAGATGTGAAGAGCCTTCATAATTTTTAATCGATTTTTGCATTTAGATGAGTAGAGCACGGTTGCATCACTGACCATAATTTGACAGTAATTTGATGGGGTGTAACGGATATGTGTTAAATGTTTATATATAGCACTTTGCTTGGAGGGTGTGACATTTCATTTATTAAGAGAAAAATAGCATGCTGTGATCAACTTATGTTGTTATTGCTTTTTATTATTGATAGTGAGAAAAGTGCCCTAAAGGGTGAAAGAATTGGTACCAACATTAGAATTTTAAAACTGATTGTCTGATTTGTTTACCGATAATATGTTGGTTGTCGAAACATTTAATTGAAAAAAATAACATTTTTTTGCGAGTGAATATTACTATTCAATATTTCATACCGTTTTTATCTATTTCTACTTTCACTTTCACTTTAAACAACTCTATATGTATCTTCATGAGGAAGATTGGTGTTTCATTTCATATTGAATCAACAATTTTGGGGAGATGATTACAACTTTATCCAGATCACAATTCTACTATTTAACCCGTAGCTGGAGGATTCATACCTTTTTCCATGAGAATCTTAACTTAACTGAATTCAATGAACTCGACTGGAATTCGAAACCGCCCCCGACTTTAAATTCCGAGCCGCTTACCGGCACATCCACTCAGGGTCATAGTCACAGTAAACGTATGTTATTGAATTCAGAGTTATATTTCTCTTACAGTGGTTACCAACCAAAGCTTAATAGTCCAGTCTGCTCTACTATTTAGCCCATAGTTAGAGGGTGAAGATGTGATGCATACCTTTCCACTGGGTATATACGTACACCCAAACTTTTGCAAAGTGTTGTGTTTTTGGAGAATTGTTGTTATTAAGCCCGAAGTTTTGATTTCTTTCTTTCTTTCTTTTTAGAATTTAATGAATCTTTGATGAAGTTTAGTACCTTCAGGAATTTTATATGTCTATGGATTATATTTTATGTTGAATTTGTGTCTTATACAACTTGTTAGAGTAATATAAGTTAATAATATTTATGTTACGGATTCAATCAGGTTTATTTGTTTATTTCCTATGCCGTTCTGTGCCAAAAATGGCTTGTAACATAGTCAAAGCAAAATGCGACCAGAACAAACCTAGTAATATTTCATCATCTTCAAGCAGGCCTGGCTTACGGTCAGATCACGTTGAAAAACCGGTTCCTGTACGATCACCAAAGTTAAGCAATGTCGATTCTGGTCAGTACCTAGTTGGGTGACCGCTTGGGAATAGCAGATACTGGAAGCTTAGATGAGCAGGTGGTATAATGTCTAATGGCACGGAATTGTTAATCAAAGAATCGAATTCAAATTGTGTTCGTTTTATTGTCTAACGTGCAAATACCCCAGAGAAAGGTATAAATCTTTTGTTCACAACGGTTGGGGGAATTAGAGTTGGGTTCGTTATATTCTCTTACGCGCAAATACCCTTGAGAAAGGGATGAATCTGTCATCCTCGTCTGTTGTAATAGAAGAAGCGAAATTGCTCGCTTGTTTAGATAAATGACCAGAGATTTATTTTTGTATAAAAATTATAAAAATGTCTCTGAAAACTGGTATACTGTAGCGGGTTGAATGTGCAGCATACTGGGTGTGAAGTGAGAGCATGAAAAAGGGGTATTCACAACACCGGCTGACAGCTTATTAGTTACTGCTTTGCTCTTGTCGAGTTGATAGGGTCTGTTCATTTACTGTGTTTACAAGAGGTCGTTTACAAAGCCTAATATTCGGACAGGGTGTTAGCCATGCGTGCGCGAGTGGGTGAGTAAAAGTCACTCTCTGCATTCTGTAGGTCTCTATACTCCGATATATATATATATATATATATATATATATATATATATATATATATATATATATATGTGTGTGTGTGTGTGTGTGTGTGTGTGTGTGTGTAGATTTTGCCATTAAATAGCCTGCAAAGTGTTGAGAAGCGGCTAAACGAAAATAATCAACTAACAAATCGAGCAAACATTGAATATTCTCCGGTCCTGATGAACGTTTGTACTCTCAAGTACGTTCATAGGAGTTAAATCACAGACTTCAGGTAGAATTCAAATATACAATTCATCGTTAAAGATACTGGGAAATCATTCATTCCTTGTACCGTTCCGTTTACACGAGTCAGATCAAACCAACAATGGAGTATATCTGGGCCCGCTTTCCACAATTCTAGTTTTCCAGTCCTGACAGATTTCAAAATCGCCTTTTGGGATGATTAATTATTTTCCAACTTAAAACTCCTTACCCACACTTGGTAATTTCCCAATCTTGTCGTCACCCTTCACTACTTGCAATCTTTCACTTCGTATATTTTTTCAAATAATATTTAGCCTGCACAATTCCCAAGTGCCACTTGGAGTAGAGGGTTACGATGTAAAAGGCACAGTTTATAGGCATATACGTTGACCCTAGTCTTGAACAGGCTAAAATCTTAATGATCAAAGAAGGATGCTCTTGAGAGTCCGTTCCACAAAGCAGCGGTTCATGGTAGAGGGATACAAAGTAAGAAGCATAGATTATAAAGATATGCGAGGAAGGTAACGGTTGACCCTAGACTTGAACAGAATAAGACAGTAGTGATTAGGCAAGCATACACTTGAGAGTTGGGTCTACATCTCAGCGGTTCGTCGTAGACGGTTACAGATTAAGAGACACAGTTTATAGTGCTATGTGGGGAAGATAACGGTTGACATTAGACTTGAACAGGTTAAGATCATACTGATTATGGAAGCATACTCTTGGAATTCAGTACCACAACGAAGCGGTACGTCGTAGACGGTTACAGAATAAGGCACACAATGTGTGGGGCTATGTGGGGAAGATAACGGTTGACCTTAGACTTGAACGTGTTAAAATTTTAATGATCAGGGAAGGATGCTCTTGAGAGTCCGTTCCACAAAGACGCGGTTCGTGGTAGAGGGTTACAGAGTAAGAGGCATAGATTATGGAAATACATGAGGAATATAACGGTTGTACCTAGGCTTAAACAGGTTAAGATTATACTGATTATGGAAGCATCCTCTTTGAATTCGATATCACAACGCAGAGTTTCCTGGTAGATTATTACAGATTAAGATGCGCTGTTCATGGGGATATATGGGAAATACTTGACCAGTTTAAGATGGTAATGATCGTCATTCTTTTAGTAAGTTGCATGTTTGGTTCTTCCCAAGAATTATTACGTTGTGATGATTCTTCGTCGAATAGAACAATCAACCTTTTTAAGTCTATCGTCAACCGTTATCTATCGTAGATATCTTCATTATCTACACCTCTTCATCTTAGGTCTATAAAACAATCTCATTCAATTACCTCGAGAGGCTATTGACTTTGCATTGGGTGAATAAGATTAAACAGAAAAAGTTATTTGATTATGAACGATGTCATTATAAAAGCTAATAATACTATATATTTGTCTAATATACACAACATAGCCTTTCTTTTTATTGTTTTCATTTTTTTTTTACGAATGTTTATTCACTAGAAGGCTCAAAAGACGTTCAAGTTTAAGGGTTACTGAGACAATCATGTCGTGACATGTCGACATAAGAACAGTGATCCAAAATAATATAAATAAAAAGATGTATATATCTATATCTCTGAGATGAGGTATTATAATTGCATATATTATTTACATTATTCGGTCTGTTATCCTCATCTTCATTGCGATATTCACAACGTTTCGGCCTGTATATCTCTGAGATGAGTTATTATGATTACTTGCATTATTTACATTATCCGGGCTGTTATCCTCATCTTTATTGCCATATTCACAGCGTTTCGGCCTCTATATCTCTGAAATGAGGTATTATGTTTGCTTATTTGCATTATTCAGACTGTTAGCCTCATCTTCATTGCGATATTCACAACGTTTCGGCCTGTATATCTCTGAGATGAGTTATTATGATTACTTGCATTATTTACATTATCCGGTCTGTTATCCTTATTTTCATTGCCGTATTCACAACGTATCGGCCGTTGTACTCTCCGGCCTTATTCAAGATCTGTCTATATCTCTGAGATGAGGTAATATGATTACTTACATTATTTACAATATTCGGACTGTTATGTTCTTTTTCATTCCCATATTCACAACATTTTCGTTGGACGCTCTGGCCTTCTTCAGGTGATTGGAATTTCAAACCGAACCTTTTTATATCGTCCACCGGGGTAGGTTGTTCTAGCTCCTCGTGACACGCCTCATCCGGATGTCTCAGTTATTTCCCTTTAACTCAACTCTCCAAGTATTTGGTTAACCACTGCTGTGGTCTGGTATTGAACTCGCAAATCTTTGTGTCTAGACTCGGGATCAAATTAACGTCTTTATCAACAGCGTGTTATCTAGGTTGATCAACAATTTGAACGAAGCCAGTACGCTCACATCCTCGGCCACGATTACTTGTGACTTTGTGCTTGCACAGATATCGGGATCCTACATTGTTCCATCAACACAATTTCACCCACAAGGCTTGGGTGAAACTGTGGTATGGTTTTCAGACACTTTTCAAAGGTGCCGCGCCCTGGGATCGATACATTCAGTCCGATATCCTGAGAAATCGACCATGGTGAGATTCGAATCCGTGTCTCATGTTCAAATTGCGAACGTGATAGTGTGGAATAGAGATTATCATAATGACTACAATGATCACTCAGTAAAAAAAGTTCATTAAATAGGCTTAGACTGTCTAAATCCACGATAGAGTGTGATTGGTTTCCAAGATACATCAAGTTCGAATAAAATGTTGGGTATATTAAAATAGTCATGCATTTTTCGGAAAGCCTCGTATATCCTTAATTTCCTTTGAAAAATATCTGTAATTGGTAATTCCATGTAGTCTCTTTAACAACGATATAATTGGTTTCCTCTTATTTCAAGATAATTTAATTTATCTGTATCATTTGGAAAAAAAAACTAGGTTTTTTTTCTCTCTAAAAGAACAACTTTTCTTTTTGTAAAGCTTTGATCTAAGGAAATAAACTATGGATACTGCTTATTTAAAATAAAACAAAACAGAATCCTTGATATACACAAAGATACATCATTGGTATGCATTACAAAGGTGAATAGAGTGCAGTACGACGAGGAATAAAGATATAACGTAAAATTTCTCCAAATGACGGCTATCCTTTTATCTTCAAAATCAGAATCTGAAATCAGACTTTTTTTTTTTTACCTGAATTGAATATCGACAAAAAGGGAAAATATACAATGACCTCAGGCACTGTATAGGTTATGAAAATAATTTTTTATGTAACTAATGTTTTTTTAATGAATGTTATATATATATATATATATATATATATATATATATATATATATATATATATATATATATATATATATATATTATATTATATTATATATAGTACATTATAAATATTACATATTATATATATATATTATAATATATTATTATATATATATATATATATATATATATATATATATATATATATATATATATATATAATTATATTATTATATTATATATATATATATATATATATATATATATATATATATATATATATATATATATATATATATATTATAAATTAACTGATTTAACTTATAATATTAATGCTCTGTAAATTTACATTGAGGACTATTTTGTAAAAAATAAAAATATCAATAAGAAGACCGGATTACATATCATACTGTTCTTTTGTTTTTTATTTAATATATATATATACATATATATATATATATATATATATATATATATATATATATATATATATATATATATATATATATATATATATATATATATACACAGGGTGTTCATAAAGTTCGTGTGCACCTTATTTGTATTTGCGATAGAAATAATTTGTAAAAAAGGATTAGAAAGAAGTAAATCTATATTTTCTAAGGTTTTATTGAAATTTTATTTAAGTTTACACATGTCCTCCATCATAAGCAATACAAAGGGTAATACGATTTTGCAGTTCTCGAAAAACATTTGCCAACGGATTTACGCTAATGCCTGAAATCACATTAGTTATTTTAGCTATACTTAAAACTAGGTACCTTAAACTTTATAACATTTTTACAGATTATTTCTATCGCAAAATACAAATAAAGTTATAAATTTTAAAGTGCTCATGGATTTTATGGACACTCTATATATATATATATATATATATATATATATATATATATATATATATATATATCATATTTTCAAATTAATAATTATATTTATGATCTACTTTTGTATCGAGCACTATTTTTAAAAATA